TACAGCATCTCATCAGCTCCAGAATTTCAGGGAATATACTTGGCACCAGTGTTGGGGGGGGAACTAAAACTGGGAAAATAAGAGTTGTATTGTTTCCCTTTCTTCTGTTTAGCACAGCCATGTTTTTACACATGTTTGCAGTTGTCTGGAAAGAACTGCTTGATGGCACACATTATTACTGCCTTTAGCAGAGCAGTCTACCCCACCTCATTTCTGTCCATTCTCCCAGTGGAGTTTAACATGTTAACACACTGAGTAACTTCTTTCCTAGAGAGAAGGGAGACAAATAATGATGGGGGAAGGGTGAAATTTAGATGTGTACAAAATTCCTGACATGTAGGGGAGCCTCCCAGCTGCAGCTGGCCCCGGCTCTGGGTAGCTGCTGCTAGCCGGGAGCCCAGGCTGCTCCCAGCAGGCAGCTGGAACGCTGCAAGCGCTTCTGGGAGCAGCCTGGGGCCCAGCAGCTACCCAGAGCTGGGGTGGCTGCTGACAGCCACAGAGTCTGGGCTGGGGGGCACAGGGCAGCAGGGCTGGGGGGCAGGGGCTTTGGGTAGGGGGCAAGGGGCACAAGCAGGGCTTCCTGCCATGTACCCCCTGCCATCATTTTGTTTTTCTGGCATACCGGCATTCCGGCACCTTCCAAGGTAGGCATGTGGTGTTTTTCGGCACTCTGGCCAAAAAATGTTGCCTACCCCTGTTCTAGGACTTGCAATACTTCTGTTAGTCCGGGAAGCGCTGTGGTCCTCATTTCACAAGTGTGGCATTGAGGCATAGAGAGATTGGTTTGCTTATGGTAGTGGTTTACAACCTTTTTAGACTCGAGACACCCTTGGATAGACCTGAGGCAACCTTTGGAAAATGCTAGCTTTTTTTTTTCCCCCTCTAATTTTGACTACAGGAAAATAATTCAGCAATTCTTCTGTTGCATAGAAGTCAGAAAACGTACAACAGGTCAGAATGTTTTTAACGCCATGAATTCCTGTTTGAAAACTCAGGGTGTATCTTGTGTATCATGTTTTCACACTTAACAGTACTAACCTTTTGTGACATCCTGTGACACCCTTGGAAAAGATCTCATGGTACCCCAGCATGTTGTGGCACCCTGTTTGAGAACCACTGGCCTTTGGTCACGTAGTAAGGCTCACAGAAAGGTTGCAAGAACTGGTGTTGGGTGTTTCATATTCCAATCTAGTCTCCTTTTACTGGACCATCTCTCTTCACACCACCAGCATAACCCTGGGGACTGGGCATAGCCTTGGTTCTTAGTCCTCATTATAACCATGTAAACTAGTGGTGCTCAACCTATCTATCCCTGCAGCTGGATGAGTGGAGCAGAGCTGGTTTACAGGCTAGGTCTAGTGTGGGGTCAGCATATGGCATTAATCTGCAGGTGAGATCTGGCTGTGAAGCAACCCTGCACATTGGCCCAATCCAGCATACCTGGATCCTGCTACATGCTGCTGGCTAGGCTGATCCCACATGTCCAGATGTGGCCATTCATCAGCCTGACTCCTTCTGCAGAGTCATGTTACTTACCCTACAGAGCTTTTCAGAGGTCCAGAAATTTGGCCACTGGGGAGTGGCAATTAACACTGCCACCCTGCTGCCAATTTTCTGGATCTGTGGGTTGACCCACGAGGTAGATAACATGCCTGCAGGCTGGGAGTTGAGCACCCCTGATCAAAACTGTTGTTGGGGAAATTACTCCATCTCATCCAAAAGAGGAACCAGGACTCATACTGTGAATGGGTAACAATCTGATTCTTTATCTGGTCCTGAACCAGCACAACTATGGGCTGCCATTGAGCAGGATTTATGGAAAAACACAAGTTTAGTTCTCTAGTGCACAGTGCCTAGGACTTCCCTATTGCAGCAGTATTTTTCACAGAGGAGTTGGCATGACCATTATTTACAGGGAGTTTCCAAACAGAAATTGCAAACTTGTATGACAACTATTTACCTAAAATGGCCTCAGTTCTGAATGAGGTGTTGGGCACTTCCACCTCCTTTTGAAATCATTGAAAAATACCCCTCATGATTTGCCGTATTAGAGAGAAACTGGGCCTGATGTAGAAGAAGACCAGTGTCTTGTCCTTCCCTAAAGTTGTGCGTCTTAGTGTCTACTTTGTTATACCAGTTGTACCGTGGCATGATACTATTGATTCAGTTATTTTTATATAGAATTTGTGAACTTTCCGAATACCAGTGAAGTTACCAAATACAACCCCATGACTTCCTGGAGAATGGAATTATGAAATCTCTGTTGGTACTGGAGAACATTGAATCTCCATCTACAGTGTTCAGGAAATGCTGTGGTATGTCAGGAAGGGGCTTCACAGCTTGTGGGCTTTGAAGTGTGACCTATAGAGTGTGTTAGGGCCTTACAATACTGCTGTTTGTCTGTCTGCCACCTCCATGCAGCTTAAAGAACAAGATGGTATGAATGAGATGGTCCATTTCACAGGTTGACAGTAAACACGCTGTAGACACAGTTTAACAGAAGCAAGTCTAAAGGTCAAGGGGGCTAATTCTCCATGTTAGAAACCAATTTTACACTGGTATAACTGCATTAGAAACCATGCAGAGAAACATTGTGTAGGCAGCTTGGCATATTCTGACATGTTTTGTGCAGTTTAAAGAAAGACTTTGTTGGGTTTGCAATTCTCAGCAGCACATCTTAGAAGAATATTTGGTCTGATTTTGACCACTTTGTGCATATGTACATGTAGACAGTTAAGAGAATCAGTCTGGGTATCAACCTGACATTAGCACTTAGCACTTAGTTTGACCTCAAGCTTTTTTCCCCCTAACATCATTCAAAGTCAAAAATATTTTTTCCCTTTTGTGTAGATTCAAAGTATTATTTTCGAAAGGCCAGTTCAGGCTGATTGCGCACTGAATGTTGAGCAGGACGTTAAACATGACACTAATCTCTTGCGTTCCCTTTGAAAAAACAAATTCTTTGTGTGTCTGTCTTTGTAAGTCTGCGTTAACGGCTTTTTCTCTTCTTGCATACAGTAGTTAAGCTCTGTGAATTGTAGAGGGAAGAGCACAAGGGGAGGGTATTGTTAGCAAGCTAAAATATCATTGTGGCCTTTTATAGCAAATTATACAGGAAGAAGGTCACTGCAGTGTGTAGAAGTTGGCAGTTGCAAGGTGATTAAAGTATACATAAGACATTCAAGAACTCCCTAAACCTTCCCGTGGAGAATGATATATTTTCAGTTCTTTTGTGTACTGTGGGGATTCTTGGTTTCTCTTATTTCTTCTCTGAAGTAAGGGTCTTTCCATCATTCCATTTTCTTGCTCCAGTAGTTTATTTCTGTGAGTTGCTTAGAGACCAGTTCAACCTGGTTAGAACCATTATGCCTTTTCCTAAAGCAAGAACCTTTGGGTCCATATTTCTCTTCAGGCTCCTCCTGCTCTTCCTTCCTGTCCAAGGTGAATCCTAGCATTCATTTACAGAGCTTTTGTTCATGTCAAAATTTAGGGTAGAGAAGACACAGCACAGTCTGTATGAACAAACGGCAGGGTCTGATCCAGTCCCAGCTGAGCCAATAGAATTGACTTCAGCAAGTGTTTGTTGGGTCTTGAGGGCTACATTGAACTAAGGAAAATAATGAATTTCTTTCCAGAAGTTGCTGATAGAAGGAGCTGTATCTCCAGATGTATTTTACCTTTCAGGTCTGGCCCTAAGACCTGTCCTTTTCCTAGGATTTTTCTGATATGGGAATGATGAAAAAATGGAAGCAGAGTCTTAGTTTGTTACAAGGTGGAAGCTGTCATGGTTCAAATATTTGGTTAATCTTGTAGACTGCCCAATTTCTTTGAATGTGTATACCATCTCAGTGTTGTGTATGGGCGTGTTTCAAATAACCCAAAATCAATATTTCCACCAAAGGTTATGTTCTGTGAAGTTCACAATGCATTTTCATTTATACAGAAAGCCTGAGGTATAAGCCAAGTCATTATTTTTTATCTCTACCGAACAGTTAAAAAAATACACATATAGCTATAAATGTACACAATAACTAAATGATTGGTATGAGAGACAAAGGGTATTGTGGGGTTTAGTAGACCAACTGTATGGTTGGGAGAGACTTAGACAAGCTTTTGAATACAGTGCATTCTTCAGGTTTGAGGGAAAAGCATGCACAGTAAAAATTAAACATTCCACCTAGGTTGTGGATTTTCCATTGTAAGTGGTAAATTTGGATATCCTTCATATTTGGGGAGTGCTGGAATGATATAACCATGATGGCTCAGGGAATACGAGGCAAAGATTTTTGTGGGTGATATCTTTTATTGGACCAACTGCATGATTAGGATGGACTTAGACAAGCTTTCTAATGCAATACATTCTTCTTCAAATAGCAGGTACACCAAAGGTTTAAAAACAGTCTGCCAGTTGATTAAGTGACTGAATAGCTAATGGGGTTGGTAACAGGGTACAGCATACAGAGATTTTTCCATCCCTAGGTTGTTGTTTGAAGTCCAGATCATATCTTCAGAGAAGAAAAGTCCTTTCTTTCTGAGGGTCTGACTGTCTTATTTAAAATAACTTGGTGGTTGCAGTAAGTTCTACATAACTAGAATCATCAGTATAGCAGGCAGCCCTTGAAGCAATCTTTAGGAGGGGAGCCATCAGTGGAAATTTGCATGGCAGCTGAACAGTTCACTTTTCTCTGGAACTTTTCTCTGCAAAAAGGCTTATAAACTCATTCGTGGGGGTATTTGGAATGATGTGCTTCCTATCTCATCCTTTGGCCTTGTAAGTGAGTGAATCCCCTTGTGGAAGTTTCTCTGGTTGCAAAACTGATGGACATTTTGGCTTAACTCCTTCCCTGTGATGGGGTTTCACCTGCAAAGAGGGAACTCAGTCCTTAGTAAATGTGCTGATATTGTCAAGGCTTTTGATTGCACAAATTGTTTTTGTTTCTAGTTTGACAGCGATTGTCACTGATTATGTGATTTAAAAAATTTTTTTTTTGCCTGCATAGGAAACAACGTTATGAGGACTATCCATGGTGTGGGAGAGATGATGACACAAATGGTGCTGAGCAGAGGATCTATCTTTCCTATCAGCACTCCTGATGTGCCACCAAGCATCCACCCAAGCAAGCAAGCCAGTACCACGGAAAGTGAAGATGTGATTGTGATGGACACCAAATTAAAAATCATTGAGATTCTACAGGTAAAAAACATGATTGAAAATTATGTAGTGGCCAGTTATTTTTTCTATCTTTACCTTTTAATTTAAGCCAAATTCTGCCACCCAACCTTATTCATGTTGAGGACACATTACTGTAAAGTAGGACTTGGGTGTGAGGAAGGGTGTTTCTTAAGGGCCCTGACATGTGCAACTCCCTGCTCTAACTCGTGGTGCTTCACAGAAAGTGCCATGAGTTAGAGCAACCTCCCCCGGCCCAACAGACCTGTGGCTTGGGAGGGGAGGGGTCAGGAATTGAGCTGCACTTTGGAACTGATCCAGTGGAAGAGTCTGCCTGCAGCCAATCTCACTTAGCCCTGCCCCCTTCCCCACCAGCTCTGGTGTTGTCTGCAGGAAGGGAGGGGGAAGGAATTGTGGGCTGGGGTTTACCCAGATGGAGCTGGGGG